CCCAGCTGGGGCCTCGGAGGGCAGCTGAGGTAGAGAAGAGGCGGGCAGCCCGGGAGCTGGCAGCTGCCACGCTCACCCACGTGCAGGGGTGTAGCGCTGTGGACGGGCTGGGTCTGCAGCCTGCCCTGGAGCGCCTGTATGAGATGATCCTAAAGAGGAAAAAGGCATCCAGGGCAAGCAGGAAGAGACGATGACCTGAGGCTGCCCCCCTCCCCACCCATTAGGGGCCTGCATATTTGGACAGCCGGGTGGGGCCTGTGACTTCTCAGCCCAAGGTGTAGGACCTAGCCACCTCCATGAAGGACCAAAGGACTTGGGGGGTTCCTGTTCTGGTGCCACATTGGGGAGGGGGATGGGAGATGGATATCTTCGCACATCTCCCTCATCCTCACCCCTGGAGAAGTGGGGGCTGCAGGACTATGGAGGCTTCAATGTAAAACTGTGACTCTACCTCGACCCTGTTTCTCATTTTTCTCCTCTGGCGTTTTCATTGTATGTGTTTTTGGAGGGATGGAAAGTTGCTTGTAGAATGGGATGAATGATATCTCCTTGTCCCCCTCTACTTACTGGGGAGGGAGTCTCCCCCAGGCTGCTTTTTAGGGGAGTCAGTCACAATAGTCTTTATTTTTGTGTGTGAGAGTGCCAAGAAACCCTCCTCACATTTGTAGCTCCACAACACCCTTTTTATAAGCCACGTGTGTCCCCTGTATTATTAACTATTTTTTAGCACTTGCCTGTAAGTTATTAAAGACTGATGACTATAGCGTTTCCTTTGGTCTGGCATTTTCCTCTCTCCTTTTCTAGTCCTAGAGCTAGTCCAGGGTTTTTATATGGAATGCGGGGAGAAGATTTACCTTGAAGCTGAATTTGTAAAGCAAGCGCTCAGAGCAATTAGATTGTGTGTTTATGGGATGGTTGGCAAAAATGGAGGTGGAGTTAGAAAAACCCTCAAGCTATTGCCTCCCCTCTGTAAATTTTGAGGGGTCTCTTTTTTCTCTTTCCTCTCCTCCCTTTTCCTCTGACTCTTGTCCCTGACACCAGGTGTTCCTTGCAGATTTAGCTTCAAGTATTGCTGGTCTGACCTGCCTCTAGGTTCTTTTGGGGACATCTAGGTCTATATAGGTAAGGCCTCAAAGAGCTATTCTCTCCCCCTCCTCGCTGCTTGCTCAGTACTAAAGTTGGTCTTATTTTCCTTCATGGTGGGGGGGATGTGAGAATGGAAAGTAATTCCTCCCTGGCTGTAAGTCACCTCTGTGAGCTCAATCCTGCTGACTGCAGCACTGACAGCAACTGCAGTGGCTGGTGCTGGGGAGGCTTGGGCTGGATTGAGCCAGCCTGGACCCTGTGACTAAGCTCTGAGTCTCCAGCTCTGGGAACTGTCGCTCTTCTCACGAGAGGGGCAGTTGTAGTCGTTGTTCGGGTGGGAGTGAGTTCTGCTAGACCTCCACGCCTCCCAGACATGAGGGGGAAAGATATAGCACCACCGTCAGCAAGGACAGTATGAATTACAAGCTGCTGTTGCAAGGGCTGGAGTGCTCCTGCTCAGACTTTGCGAAGTGCTCCTTCCTTACCAGTGCCAAGTCAGCTGTGTCTGATAATGCAGGACAATCAGATCCTTCGAATCTTTCTGGGTGACAGAAGTGATAAAAAAGCAAGCACAATTCTTTCCAGTCTCCCAGACTCCTAGTCCTACCCCTGCCCTTGGTGCAAACATGGAATCCCTAGAGCAGGTTCAGTAGTCTCGCTCCAGAATCAGATGAAAGGACCTGGGGAGGGAGAGAAGATGCTGGCAACCTCCATCCTGAGGGAGGCTTCCTAAGGAACTTGCTTCTTTCTTCCCAAGGCCACCAGAAGTTGTTTTGCTGCCAAACCTGAACCTGGGACCGTTCAGAGTTGCCCCTCCCACCTGACCCTGTGGCTGGCAGGATAGGGTGGGTGTGCACCATTCGGAATGGTGCCTAAGTGTGCAGCATGCGTCAGTGCTGGGCCTACTTAGTAGAGCTGCTAGGCTGGTTCTGCTGGGGACACAGTGCTCCCTGGCCCCCCTACACACAGCTGTGACTCATCTCGTCCAGTTCTCTGGGGTAGAGTCCTGCAATACCGAAACAGGCAGAGGTCCTTGTCCAGGCTGGAGAGGACCTGGCCAGAAAGACCTCCAGTTCTGCTGAGACCTTTCATTTCCATCTCATTTCAGCCCAGTCTTTCCTCTGTAGAGGAAGGGTACAGGTGGCAGATGAGAGGTGAAGAAGCCAGTTGTTCTGGAGTGAGGAGGAGAGGGGAGCATTGAAGAATTCTGAATAGAGGGACCAGCAGTTGGCGTAATGGCTAAGTTGCTGGACTCCCACATAGTCGACCGCGGTTTGCGTCCCAGACCTGGTGGCTTAAAACTCACGCCGGGCGCGTGTGTATGCGTGCCCAAGATCCCGAAAGGAGAATGGAGGAGAAGGGATTGTGGCATGGCCATCCCCCCTGGGGGGTGATTTCTCGCTTTCTGTCTCTCTGTCTCTCTCTGTCTGTCTGGCAAGTGCACGCGCCCTGTGGCAAAAACCTCTTTTAAAAAAAAGAGTTCTGAATAGAGAGCCATATTGTGACTGGGTGGGGGCTGGGAGCTTTGGAATAATCCTGTCTTGGCCAGTCAAAGGGACTGGAGGAGTTAAGACAGTGTTGCAGGAGTGACCTCTGACACTCTCTGAAGCTCACTCACATAGGAAGGTTCTAGGTTTGTGTCTGGAGACCTCCCTGAACATGCTAGGCACACACACACCTGTGATCCAGGGTTGGCTGAAGCTGGGGGTGGGGACATCAAGACCTGTTGGGAGTGCTGTCTGTCTCTGCCTCTCTCACTCATGGAAGAGATCAACAGATAAAAAGACAAAATGGGGCCGGCAGGTGGCTTGGTGGTTAAGGATGCCGGATTCCCACATGGCTGACTGTGGTTCAAGTCCCAGACCTGGTGGTTTGCTTCCTCACTTTCCCTTTCTCTTTCTGTCTCTGTCTGGTCAAATTAAAAATTAATAACAAATAGAATTAAATAAATAATTCATTTTTAAAAAAATAGACAAAACAAATACAAAGGGATCGGAGAGTTAGAAGGGAGTGGGATCACATTCTCATCTGCTGGGAGAAGAGAGGGAGGGACTGGTTCTGCTCCTCTCCAGCCCTGCCCCAGGGATCCTGCATTTTGAACTCTAGGCCAAGGGCAAGGAATGGGAGTGGGAGTGGGTTGAGGGCAGGGTTGTGGTTCCCTTGTCCAAGCTTCTCTGTTAAGTAGACTTCATTCCTCTCTTCTTCTGTCCCCTTCTCTTCCTTCCTTCTTCTCTTTCTCTCCTATTACCTCTGTGTGTGTGTGTGTGTGTGTTCGTGTGTGAGAGAGAGAGGGGGAGAGAGAGAGACAGCCACCTGCAATAGGGTCTTATGCCATGCATGTGCCTGATGCATACAAGGAGGCCTCAGGATGTGAACCTAGGGCCTTCCCATGAAGGTCTAGCACTGCAGAACGTCGTGTTACAGCTGCATCACCATCTGCCCCCCTCCTAGAATTTCTTTGGGACCCCGAAATGGGGGCTGAGAAGAGATTCCCTGGGGGCCAGGAGTGGTGGCTGGGGATGGATACTTCTTTAAAAAAAAAAAATCTAGTTTTATTTATTTATTGTTATTCTGCAATTTGACCAGAGAGAGATGGGAAGAGAGAAAGGGAGAATGTGAAAGCAAGCCTGCCAGTTCCAGGACTTGAACTGTGGTCAGCCATGTGGGAGTCCAGCATCTCAACCATCATGCCATCTGCTGGCCCGGGGATGGACACTTCTGAAGTGAAGTTGAAGGAAACCTATAGGCCCAGAGTCGGGGCTCCCTTCCATGGCACCCTTTCGCAACCAGCCATCCCCTCTCCTTATACAAGTTAGGATGTAACATCCAGATGGAGGGCATTTTCCCTGTGTGCTTTCCCTTCCTGGGGCCCCTCCTCATGAAGGCAGAGATAGCAGTGGTCCCCACTTTTCCATGCCCAGTCCTGCTATGCTGCCTGGGCTCCAGGAAGAGAGGACAGAAGAAGGAAAGAAGTCCCGAAGGCCCAGAGGGAGTACTGACTTATCCAGTGACGATGCAGGTACTTAGTGGTATATCCAGATCCTTCCTCAAGGCAGGCGCTTTGTACTCCCAGGGCAGGCCATGGTGGGAGGCAGGAGATGGAGGAAATCCAGCATCTCAGAGCTCTGACTCCTTCCCTCCTACTTCCCTCCCCTTGATTAGATTGAGGACCGGCTTTCCTCTCCTCTACTCCCCTTCCTGGGGAGTGGGAGTTTTATCTCCAAAGCCCAGCAGAGCTCTGGCTTCTGATCTGGCCAGAAGTCTGCAACATCTTTCATAGAGACCATGTATCTTTCCAAGTCTTTCTTGGTATGGACACCTCCACCGGGACCTGGAAAACACTGAGATCTGCCCAAGTGCTAGCAGTGCACAGGACGGCCTGTTCTCTGACACAGGCCTGTTTTGAATGGGGCCCAGTGGGCAGTGGGAGGGGAGGGAGGGAGGTCAGGCCAGCTGGAGGGGTGGGCAGGCTGTGGCTGCACTTCACTGCCAAGGCCATCTGCTGGGAGATTGTGGGTGGGTGTCATGGGATCTCCTCCCTGGCTGAGCCGGAAGAGGGTATTTGTCTTCCTTTATTTAATTTATTTTTTTAATTTTTATTTAGTGTCCCCTCCTCTCCTTACAAAGTAAAAAGATCTTTATTGTGGAGGAAATCTAAATTTAGAAGACAGAGAAACCCTGAAATCTAAACCTAAGCGCCGATTGTGAACAGGTTTCTATATATTCTTCCAGATAGTTGTGTCACTTAACAACGGGGATACGTTCTGAGGAATGTGTCATTAGGAGATTCTGTCATTGTTCACACACAGAGCTTATTTAGACAAACTTAGATGGCATATCCTGCTGACGCACCTAGGCTATACGGTGTAGCCTTTGCCCCACCGTGGGTCGTATATGTGACCCATTGTTGACTGGGATATCTTTATGTGGCGTGTGACTATTTTCTACCATACATATGCAAAAAGGTGTGTTTATATAACACACATGGGGTTATAGAGAGAGATTGTTGTGCGGTGTGCTTTTCTCATTTATGTCTTGGACATTATTCAATACCGGGACATAAGGATTTTTCTCATTCTTTTTGATGACCACATGAGATTCCATTTTATGAATGTGCCATCATTTCTTTTCTTCTTCTTCTTCTTTTTTTTTTTTTATTAGTTTACTACAGGACACCACGCACTCACCAGAAACAGAGAGAGAGGGAAAGTGAGAAATCACTTCCCGGAGGGGATGGCCACAGCAGCACTCCCTTCTCCTCTATTCTCCTCTCAGGGTCTTGAGTATGCACGCACACATACCCAGGATGATTTTCAGACACAGGGTCTGGGACTCGAACCAAGCTGCTGCTCACGTGGGATCCAGCTACCTTAACTTCCACGTTGCCTGCTGGCCCTGTGCTATCATTTTAATTAAATTCTCTATTAATTCACACCATGTCTATAGCCATAACCAACTTTCACACATTTCTTTGTACGCTTGGAGAAGATTTCAAATTCCTTAGTATAAATGTTAGGTCAAAGGTACGTACATGTTTTTTGAGAGAGTTTTGCTATAGGGCACATGCACTTGCTGGAGACACAGAAACAGAGACAGAGACAGAGAAAGTGAGAAATCATCCCCCTCAAGGGGTATGACCACCCCACAATCCCTTTTCCTCCATTCTTCTCTTGAGATTTGGG